TTACGGCAGACATGAGACCTGGTCGCCGGAAGAATATCTCGAGAATTATTCGTCCGGTCGCCGGACATGTAGACACTTCTTTAGTAATAAAGCCTAGGCTTATTTGATATTACTATAACTTATTTTTATATAGACAATATAGGGCCTACTTCTTATAATTATTATAATTTATAGTAATAGGCTTGGCCAGCTAAACTTAAACCAACGAAATTAATCATGATCATGCACTCAGCCAGCGTTATAGTTATATATTTATTAAGTATACCCACTCACTGTCAACCCAACAGGGACAAAACACGCGAAATGACGTCAGGGTGCTATCTCTCCAAATTAGCCGATTATCGAATATTTGTTATGGAATTAAGCCTTATCAAATATTAATGCAATATTTGGACCTCCTTAGCCTTACCAACATTTTTATCCAGTGGTCCTTTGCTAAGCCAGTCAACGATAACATCAATTGACTTTTTGTCTCCATTCATCTTCCAGTTTCCTCCAACGAAAAATTTTCTGTCATCTGATTGTCCCGAAGTGCTACTCATTTTCAGAATATTGGTATTAGGTAATAAACAAATAAATCAGAATATGCAAGCTTTATCTTTACAGAAAGTACTACCTCTAAGTTAGTCTAACACAAAATAATTCACACCGGCTGAGTAACAACCTTGACAGCGTTCAAAAGGTCAAGGTGATATTGAAAGGTCATGACCCGACTATGGACGTGCAAATTAGAACATAATATGAAGATTTCAGACAGTCAGTAACTAATGACTAATTTAATGCTTCGTGCTCATCATTGCATATACAATTATTAAGCTATAGTTGTATATATAATGAGTTTAGTTGTTTGGCGGTGCGTCGCAATTTTTACGCGCGGGGGTTGAAAGACGGTGCAGAGGCGTAGCAAAGGGGGGCAGGGGGGGACAGATGTCCCCGGGCCGGGCGCGAGCTAGATAGGGGTGCCAAAATGTGCTTTGATATTATTTTATAGATGAAAATAATGGGTTTGAGAGTTGAAAAAAGAAAAGGAGGTGCTTTAAAATTAGCAGTTTAAATAGTTTACATATTTTTAATAATTGAAAAGCGCTTAGAGCTGTAACTGTAAGGTAAGCGCTATACAAAAATCCCTAAATAAATAAATCTTGTCCCTGGGCGCCATTCACTCTAGCTACGCCTCTGAGATGGTGTGGAGGGAGCTGAACGCCCGGGGGGGGGGGGCTTATTTCGGGGTGAAATTTTGGGTTCATGATTCTATATGAGGTACTAGGTTTACGTTCAAGCGATGCGAAGTAAATGGTTACTTGAACAAGATAATATGTTTAAGGCTTGAAACGGCAGGACAATTAAACGGACGTTTGGGCTAGATGACCTCTTAAGAATAAAATGCAAAAACAAGAGATTAATAATTATAAATAAAAATCAAATAAAACGTATTTTGTCAAAAAGGATCTCAATGAAGTCATCGTTGGTGAGTTTTCATAGTAGTAAGCGCTTTACCTATCATGTTTAATTGACCTGTATTTTCTTTTCAAGCCTAACCATATCTTTTTCCACTATTTATTTCATTTTTTATTTATTTCATATGCTTAAACTTATCTTCTTCTTCTTCTATATCTTAAGGGCCCACGATCAATTTATTGATCATTTTGGCTCCTATGCATGTAGATGGGATTTGCAATGTTTCTGTTACTGGTGGTGATGAGGAAATTATGCACTAGGGGTTTGAAG